CGCGCCCTTCATGGATGTCTCAGCGGGGCAGCAGTGCCCGACTCTCTGCGGGCCAGCGGAGGCCGAGGCCATCAGGGACCACCTCGCCGCCCTCCTTGCCCACCTAGGGGCCGCCGAGGCCAACGCCACCGGCCCCGTGTCCTCCAGCGAAGTTGTCCCCAGAGGCTGGAACCTCTGCACCATCGTCGGGGTGCTGCTGGGCTACCCGGCGGCGTACGCCTTCTCCATGGAGGAGGGCGCCGAGAACTGCCTGGCGCTGACACCGCTGAGGGTGTTCACGGTCCAGGCCTCCTGCCCCAGGATAAGGGACGGTCTCAGGGTCCAGATCTACTCCTTCAGCATCCCGGAGAGCCTCTGTGCAGAGCTGAAGGAGGTGCTGGATGCCTGGTGTGATGAGCTGAAGGAGGCCTTCAGTGTGCAGAATGACTTTGTAGATCTCTGCATTTTGAGCGAGGTGGTGTCTCTTCCAGCAGTTGCCTTGTAAAACACAAACTCAGTCTTTTTGGCCTATTTCTCACTTGCATCAGGGACTGAGGCAAGAGATGCGGTTCCTGTATGTGCAGCCCACTGAGGTTCTCAAGAGGTCCCTGAGCAACAAAGGCTGGCTATTGACGATCTTGGGCCTCCAACCTTGTAGGCCAGTTGCAAATCAAGTACATGTACTTCCCAGAAGACCGGTGTGGGGATGTATGCACTCACAGCTGCTTTGCAGCCTCCATCTGGACTGCAGAGTGTGCCCTGTAAAGTCAGCGTTTATTTATTTGCTGCGAACAGCTGAGGATTAATAAAAAATTTGAACACCACCGTATTTTGAATTTGTGAAGTTTATTGTAGGCTCCATATCATATTTACTACTTGTGCAAGGTAGTGTCACGAACCGCCTCGTAGCTGAGCCTGCGCTTGAATGAGGGGCAAGTTCTACTGTAAAACCTGCACAGTGCAGCTCCAAAAGAGGCTTAAAATCCCGTCTCTGTCGAATTAATGTGGCGCTGGCAGTGAAAGCGAAGCGGACGTGGCTGTGGGGACGCCTGGCCACGAGGCAGGCTCGAAGAGCAGAACTGGGCCCGGCGAGCAGGAGGTGGGAAAATTGCTCAGGACAGGCAGTGCACGGGGGAATATGAGGGGACTGTGCTAAAAAGCCTCCCTGAGCTGGGTTTGTCAGGTATCAGCAGAGATGGTCCAGGGTCAAATACCTCCCATTTAGGGAAGCAATAACTAAAGGAAGAGAATTTTGTAGTCCTCTCAGCCGCCGGGCATGAAAACCAGGAAGGCCGGATCCCAAGGGCACGGGATCCTCGTCCCTGCTGCCCCGTCCCTCCCACTCCGTGTGAGCCCCAGCAGCAGTGGCTGGGGGGGGCTGGGAAGCACAACCTTCAACTGACACAGAATAACCAAAGCAGCCGAGGGAAGGAGTGATCTCCCAGCGTTTATTGGAGCCGCAGGAGTTTGTCTGGAGTAAGACCAGCTCAGGATATGAACCAAACAGACGAGTACGAAACAGCAGACGGTGCGCTGCGGCGAGGGCACGTTGCTGTTGGTGAAGCAGAAGTCAGTTCCTGCAGTGAGATCGGTCATCGAGAAGGTCCTTCATGGCCTGTAACTTGCAAGGAAGGTGGCTATGGCCATTGCTATCACTGCCACCAGGAGAGGGATCCAGTGACTGCGCTGTCTCTGCAAGGAGAAGTAAGTGTTACTAGGAAATTGGTGGGGAGAAGAAACTTCTCATCTCATTCCTAGCAAACATGTCATTCATCTTTCCACACTGCACAAGTAAATGGGGGAATTTTTCCCAGACCGATCGGCAGCACTGGGAGTCAGGGCGAGGAACGCCTCCCACCTTTGCGTGCTTGCTCTGGAAGTGGTTGAGCTCGTCCCGGCACTGGCGCAGCCTGGTCAGGCAGGAGCGGTACTCCTCGCTCAGGGCCTCCAGCTCCGAGCGCAGCTCCGTGCACTGCAAGCAGAGCGAGGGGCCGTTAGCAGGAGGGATCCCCTCACTCTTGTACGCACTGACAGCGGCAGGGCTCCCGCAGCGGCTGCAGCGCTTCTCCCATGCACGGGCACTGCAGCGACGGGGGATTTTCACTTCTGCTACCTGTATGCCCAGGGGACAGAGCAGATCTCAGTGTTACTGGGACTGTGGCGATAGAGGCAATGCCCGCTCGGTTACCAGCCCGTGACCTGCTTGGCTTTGCTGCCATCCTTCACATCACATGGGAGAAAGAAGCAGTAGTTACTTTTGTGACCATAGAAGCGTGCAGGTCAGGAAGAAAATATGGAGTGCAAACGCGTGGCATTGCCTCTCATTCTGAGATTCAGTCTGCACTTCACTGACTGTGAGAGCAATTGCAAAGTCCTTTAAACCCTCTGAGACATGGAGCACACGGGACAGGTGCCTTGGTTGCGCTGCGCAACCCCAAAACCCAGGGCGCGTCTTTGGTCCGAAAGGCCACAGCGTGAGACCCTGCTGCCCTCCCGGGGAGCGCTGCGTTAGCAGCAGCAGCTGTGGAAGGAGGCTGCGGGTGCCGAGAGGCTGCAGGAGCCGTGGGGGCAGCTGGGCCCCCACAGCTGTTCCCTTTTGCTGTGATTGTGCTTTACAAAACCCTTCCCCAGGTGATGCTGGGTGATGTTTGGTGCTGGTGGCGTGCTCACCAGTGTGGCTCAGTAGGATAAGCTCCTCTGCGTGGCTCTAAGCTCTGCTACAGTAAGTTATAAATTCTTTTTTATAAATCCTTGCTATCTGAGTACTGCTGTAAGAACGGTGGGGCTGTTGGTTGGCAGAGGGCACAGTTTGTGCTGCCAGTCTTGTGTCCTGAAACAGTTTTTTTAGATGGGAAAGAGCATATAAGAGGTCAGAAAACTTTGAAGTTTTTTGCAGCCCAGTTGTAAGGGCGTTGCTTTTGTTAGCAGACCCTTCCTGTTATTTGCAAGCCTTTTTTCCTCTTCTCCTTCCTTCGTGCTCAAGGCTTCAGCTCTTAAAGTGTGGCTTTTGCTTTTCCTTGTGAGACTGTTGGGACTCTCCTGTCCATGAGAGCAGAAATGGGTTTATATGGAGAGGGCTCTGCTGCTACAGCCCTTGCACATGGACACTGCATCTGGGGTTTAGCTGAGGCTGGTATCAGGATAAAAATTCAGCAGAGATAATCCTTACAGGAGGTACCAAGCTCAGGTTACTTCCAGGAGCTTTGATGTGTTTTGCTGCTGCTGGAGCACTTACACCAGCAGCTTGTTCCCTAGCAGGGAACTTGGTCCCAGCCATGATTCAGTGACTTTCTCACCTCGTTCTCCTTTGCTGTAAGCTGGGATGTCCTTTTCTGCACCTCATCCTTCAGACTTTCTTCTTCCTCCTCCTTCTCGGGGTGCTCTAACAGACTGTTTTGTTTTTCCTTGGCAGGAGTGAGAAGTGGGGTCTGCGTGGTGAAAACCTGGTCTAGAAAACAGTCAGGCTTCTGATGAGAAACAGGTCCAGACTTTTGGTTTGCTTTAGATCTTGTTTGCTCAGCTCAGTTTAAAGAGAATGTTTGCGTGCTACACAAGCAGCAGAGGACACAGGAGCCGAGTTAGTTATCATGGGCCTGCCTCTGCTGTAGCTACAAGTTAATAATCTTTAGAGGACTATTTATAATTAGTTGCCAGAAATGGAAGGGAGGGAGAGTTAAAATGCCTTTTATTACTTTTTTCAAATACAGCTGTAGTTGTAATTATAAACTGGAAAGTATTTTGCTTGGGAAAAAAATGGCATAGCCACTGAAGTAGAATTTGTAATGAAATCCATTTATTTTTTAAAGTGTTTGCCATCAAAAATACACTTACATTTAATGTTAACTAGCAAAATATAATAACTCGCTTTGTGCAGCTTTAAAATAATCCTTTATTCTAAACCAATGCAGACTTCTCCTAGAGTCAGGTCTAACATTCCTGTATCCAGTGAGAGGAGTGCTAGGTGGGAGTTACAAAGTTTGCTGACCTTTCCTTTGCACCATCGCCTCCTGGCTCTTCTGTTCGTTGGTCTGGTTCTGCATCAAGTCTGTGAACATGAAAAGCTGCTGTTACTGTCCGCAGCGCTAATGCAGATCTCTTACTTTGCACTTCTTTGTGTTACTTACTGTGCAAATGGCTGATTTTTGCCTCCAGTGTTACCTTCTGATTTTGTTCTTTTTGCAATTTATCTGAAATAATGGTAAGAAGAAAATCAAGGTTAATGTAAATCTCTGTGTATCTTTATGCAAGGATGGCAACTTTCTCTTTCTCCACGTGTGTTGAGTGGAGTAGATATTGTTGGCTACACTGAACTTTCTTCTCTGAAGATCAGATATTTAGCTGTGAATCGCCCTTTCAGTTTTGGTAGCTTTTTCTAGTGTGCCTTACATTCTATTGATGTATGGTTTATTTTAAAGTTGTTTGTATGAGACCTGTTATAAAAATAGAACTGTCACCCATTTACTCTTCCTTAATTGTGTTTTAAAATAGCCATGTGAAGTATATGTGAGTTTCCTTGCTTCTATCTGAATTGATACTTTAAGACACTATTAGCTCATGTTTATACGCTGGTAATATCCACCACCACACAGCAGCACTTCAGACAGTGATGGGTGATGCCCCGCCACCGAGCGGGCTTGCACTGCTGTGTTTGATGGGTCTGACAAGGATGCAAAAGCCCTCATCAAAGCTGAGCACTCATCTTTGATTTTTTTACAGGTCTCTCATTCTATCCTTTCTTCTAGAAAAGTTATTTCACTTATTTCACTTCTCTGAAGTCCTTTAATCTAGTTGGAAATGACTTCAGGAGCCCTTTGGAAACCAGAGGCTTTCTCGGCAAGCTGAGATGTGCAGCGCATTCAGAGAGTCTTTTGCATGTGTGTGTGCTTGGCTTTAAGGACCAGCATTTTAAAGACTATTTCCCTTATATCCTCTGTTCATTTGGAGGACAGACCCCACCACCATTCCCCTGCACACGATACCTTCGATGGTGCTGATGTGCTTTGCCTTCAGGTCATTGTCCTCCCGCAAGGCGCTGGCTCGCCGGTGCAGCGCGGTGTGCTCGCTCTGCAGGCTGCGCAGGGCCTGGCTGAGCTGCTCGTTCTGCGCGTCCGCTCGCTGGGGGCGAGAAGAGCCCCCGCATCAGCCCAGCCCTGGCACCATGCCGTGGGCAGCCCGCGAGCACGCAGCGTCGGCCAGCTTTCTGGCAAGGAAAGGCAGCCCCGAGCTGAGAACGAGGTTGCATGGGCAACTGCTGTGCTTCATTGAACGGGCTTATTATACAGTGATCTCAACCTGCGGGCTTCCCTGCTTGCAAAATGGAAAACACGCACTCCCGTGGATGCTGTTCCTGCAGGGATCTAACATACCTGCAGTTCGCTTTGCAAAATGTGGAAGCTGTTCTCGAGCTCGATGTGTGCCGTGGTTGTCTTGGTCAGTTCGGCTTTGAGTGTGGTAGAGTGCTCTTTCCAGAAGGCAAGGTCCTCTCTCGTCGCTGCCAGGCTTCTC